TCAACATAATACACACTGTTTAAAAATAAAATCAGGACATCTATTTAAAAAACTGGTAATCACTAAAAATAACATTTGATGTAAAATATATAGAACACAAGTATACATCAAGTGCTCCAGACCAGCTGCAATCTTCAGCTGAGCGCCGTGCTTCAGCAAAGTTTTGGCACATTAAGCTCAGTACCTCTCCACATGTGTGTGTGTGTATGTGTGTGTGTGTGTGTGTGTGTGTGTGTGTGTACGTACTTAGGCAGTATATTTTCATTCAAACAGGTTTGGTTAAATAATTTAGACATACTATGTTTGTTTATTTTTGTTTTAATCCTTTCGAGTCCATGAATCAATTTCTTGGTCGTCATAGAAAATTGATTAAAACAAATACCAAAATTTTCTTTCAAATAATTTTTATTTTCCCAAGTACTTTCAGTCTCATTTGAAAAAAAAAAAAAAAACACAGTAAAATGAACAATAAAAATGTTTTGAATTTACAGAACTATGTATCCAGATCCACAGACAATTTAACCCCCTGATGATGGTATCAGATGAGACTGAAAATACTTGTGAAAATAAAAATTATTTAAAAGAAAATTTTGGTATTTTTCTTAATTTTCTATGGCTACCAAGATATTGATTTGTGGACTCAAAAGCATTAAAACAAAAATAAACAGACATAGTATATCAAAATTATTTAATGTTTGTGTGTGTGTACACATGTGTATATATGTGTGTATGCCTGTATGTGTGCGTATGTAGTAGTCTGATTCAATTCAAGAGATAAAAACCACAACAATAATAATAATATTGATAATAAAACTAATAATATTTATTGTATATTAGTCAGCCTTTAGACCAAATGGAAGCATGATGAAAAAGATGTTAAAAATTGGAATTCTCAGAGATGGACAAGATGAGATCTAATAAATTTGGGCTAGTTGTTTGCCACAATTAAAGTTATATTACTACAGAACAAAATACTTACATTCATAAAAAAAGAGTAATATTAGAACTGATCATATTTTGGGATCATTCTCATTTTACAAGGTGTTATTCTATCATAATTTATTTAGTATATATGAGTTGAAACAATATTGAAATAGTAAAGTGCTCTGTAGACGAATTACACTTGACTCAATGTTTTTTTTATTGCATTGGTATTTTTGTTGTATTGGGACAAATAGTGTAAGTATTATCATTGCAGCGTGTGGAATTGGTAAGCTGAGTTCAAATTCTGGCTGTCAGGTGCATTCACTTTCACACAAATACACTTGGGAAAAGCAGATCTCAAGTAGAAATCTCAAATCTCTAGAAGGACTTTCTCAGTCCCTGAAGTTCATTGTTAATGGCCAGTCATCACAAGCCCATGTGATCAATTCTGGCATTCCACAGGATTCTCTACTTGGTCCTACCCTCTCTCTGCTCTATATTAATGGTTTGCCTAATAATATACTTCGATCTTTAGTGAATATCTATGTGGATGATGGAGTCATGTTATCAGGATGACTGAAGACCATCTCCCAAAGAGGATCCTATCTGAGGAACTCTCGGAAGGTTGGCGATATTTTGGAGGACAGAAAAAATGTCTCAAAGACCACCTGAAAGTAGTACTAAAGCAGTGCAGTATTAATCCTGTAGAATAGGAACTTAGACCAGCTAATCGCAACAGTTGTCAGGCCATTAAAAGATTTGAAATTAGCCAATCTCAAGACCAGGAGTTTCACTGGCAACAATATCATGGTTACCTTGTGCATAGTCCACTGCTACTAGGTGTCAGTATTCAGTATTCAACTTGTGAATGACGTGTGTCTCAGTTTGGTCTTTGCAGCCATCAACATCAGCATAATGTCTTCAACCAGTGATTTCTTTAATTCTCAATCTTCTCATTTGTTGGAGCAAATGTTGTCATCATCGACAGACATCATAAGGTAAGCAAAAAAAAATGTATGTGGATGATACAATAGTTTATAGGTACTCCTCCAAAAACTGGATTTAACTAGCACCTGGCAGCTGATCTCTCTTCTGATCTAACCCTGTAGGTTCAATTGTAAAATTCAATCTGGCCAAAACCAAGCTAGTAATGTTCAACCATCACCGAGCAGACCCTGAACTTTCACCTATCATGATAGAGGGGTGTTCTCTTAAAGAGGCTCCTTGCTGTAAATATCTATTGGGACTAAAGCTCAATCCAGGCATCAACTGGAATTCATATATAGAATCTATTGCTAAAGATGCTGAAAAAATGGTCTGTTTATTATATCACTCAAATAGTATTATATTGCTTTACTCTTCACAAGAACGAGATCAGACTAGAAGTGTAAATGTAGTATTGCTGCTGCACCTGTGCTGGAGCTGCCAAGTCCTCACTTGGCTGTCTTGATAGAATTCAAAAGTGTCTGTAGGAACATTATCTCTAATTTTTGCAGAATTAATTTTTACCAGATAAAAGACACACACAAACACTAGTCCACACCTACAAGATATTAATACACTAATAAAATCACATAAGACAAATATAATCTTACTAATTTTTGGATGAATCACATGGACAAAAGTACCTTAGTCTGGGAGACCATTTATATCCTAGCAACGGATATATAAACAAAAGATTCCAAGACTCCACTCAGACAGTCAAATACAACATTGCAGATGGTATGCAGTTCAGACAAAGGTCAAGCAGAGAATCTCATTTGAATTGAAATGAAGAATTAAATGAAGAAACACATTATTCAACACTCCCTGACTACAAGGAGAATTACAATGGCCAAATGCATAGGCAGTCAAATTTCTCAATTAGAAAACATTTTCATCTTCACATGTTTTTCCAGTATAGTAAATTACTCTTTAAGAACTTTACTTATAATATTTTCTGTAATATCAGCCACAATATTTCTATCCTAGAAGAAGTTTACTTTATGCATTAGCAATACATTTGTTTATAAAATGTTATGTTTAATTTAAAATCTTCCAATAATCTTTCTTAACATTTATGTGCTCTTTCTATTTTATTTGATTGTTGATATTCCAATTCTTAAGTTTTTCCCTAAAACCTGGGTAGACAAAAATTCCACACATCAATGCAGCCTTGTAGGTGATGAATTATTTTCCACCCTACAACCACTTTCCCAAAGATGAAACATCACAAGCCTCTTGCTACTTTATTGTGGTTTCCATGGCAAGTGTTCTGATAAGCTACATTCCTTGGTCCCACCAATCTTTAACATTGCAGCTTGGACCTGCGCCATGCCACATACATAATGATGAATTACCTTTATCCTTTCTGTATACCATTGGTAAGAAGTAAGTTCCACTTGGTCAGCTTCTTCCCAAGAACTGCTGCCTTGTAGAACAGACTCCCAGCAGGATGTTTTTCTGATCACTACAATCTTGACCTCTTCAAGTCTAGGGTAAGCCGTTATCTTTCCTACATGACATCACATAGTGTACTTTTTGCTTTTTCTTATGCTCATAAAACACCACACAGTAACCCTCTACCATGAGTGGCTCTTAGGGCTTGTATTGAGTGAACATTAATATAAAAAAAGAATTTTTTCCCAACAGCTATGGGTTAAATAGTGGAGTAGGCTGGGCTCTTGAGCCTTGGATCACACTCATCTATGAGAAAAAAATTTTAAATTCTAAACAGTGGAGAAAGTAATGGGAAACCATTCTATTATATTTTGCAAGGCATCATGGCAAATCATAGATTATAAAGAAAAGAACTCTTAGAGCTGTGATCACCTAGGTCCTAAAGTGTCATGGTATTAAAAAGATAACAAATAATATATTCTTTCATGAATTTCAAAGAAACTGACAGTCTCATCTCTGTGAAAGTTTAATATATAACAATATTTTGTTTACAAAAAGCATATCCTCTGAAAAGACACCTTACATTCTAAATGGTATTAGCTGAATTTGGATATCCCTTATACATACTTTTATCATACATCTTAATTTGGCAGCCCACTTTGAATGATCTGTCTTTGTTTCTTCATAAGAAATATAAGCTATCAATATTTTTTTAATGTAAACACTTTATTATGCAAGAATCAAAACCTATAAAAATTGAAAACAATCCTGGTTTGAAGCTTGAACATTATGGTAAGTCTGCTTATATGTAGAAAAATATTTACAATTCTTTTAAAGTAATATTTAAAATGATATAGAATGCAGTGGAATCTAATTTAGCAGTTTATAAATGAAATTGACATGAAAATTAATTTCTGTAATTTATTGAATTTAAAATAAAATTTGAAATAAAGTTTTTCTCAAACTATTCTAACAATTTAGTGAAGTCATTCAACTGATAAAAGTTTGTCATAAAATTTAAAAACTACTATTTATGGTAATGAATGAACTAATAAAATTATATACCAAATTTGGATAATTTTATTTGCTTCTGTACACTTGTAAAAACATGAATCAATATTTTGGTTAGAGTTTCAAATTGTACCTGTAACTAATTTTCTATTAACATAATTAATATGTGCTAAATCAATGCTCTCTATGAGAGTGCCTTTAAATCAGTCTAATGAATAAAAAAATGCTACTAATTGTTTATACAGATGTATAACAAGATAGACTGATAGAAATTTGTCATTTAAAAATGATCTCAGCTAAAAACAATTTTGACATTTTTAAATGAATATAGAATTATATCTGTTTATATTTTGTATTTCTTTTATTTTAATAAAATTTTATATTGTTTTCAATTTCAATATGGCGTTATATTTACTGCTTTTTGGTGCCGACGTCATTTGTGTCTGTTGTACTCTCTAACAAAAGATAATTGAATTTTAACCTTAACCGAAAAAAGAAAAATATATTTTGCTTGAAAATATTAAATTTAGTTGCTATATCAAAGACATATTTTACATTAAATATGTATTTTTGTTTCAATCCCGTTTTTACTAAAACATAAATGCGGAATTATAATATTAAGCGACAACGGGAACGAGAGTATGTCGGTTGAAAAAGCGGCTTTTTTCATGTAAACAATAAGCACGATGAGCTCGGCTAGCAAGGTTAGTTTATTTTTCATTTATATTCTGTTAATATTGCCAGTGATTAGATGGTATGTATTTGAATTGAAATAGGAGGAGAAATAATCACTCTAGTCGGCCTGATGCTAACTTAAAAAAATAAATAAAAGTCTCTACCTGAGATAAGGTCTCTCAATCTAGAAAAAGCTTAAAAAGTAGTAGTAGTAGTAATGAAAATGAATGACAGAACTTTTTTTTTTTTTCCATTGTATGTAATTTTTTTGGACGACGTCAGATATATTTGCTAAATTTTTTAAATGTAAATAATACGCAGTGTTTTACTTTTATTTTTAAACCGTCTTTATACTGGTTACGCAATAACGGCATAAAAAAGTCATGATTTTCAAAATAAGGTCTTATTTTTTTTTTTAAAGGCTGCCCTTTTTATTGATAAATAAACATTGAAATATATTTGTAAATATACATAATAATTTAATTATTAGTTGTTATTTGCATTTAATGATGCATCTGTGTTTTTGCGTACAAATAAATGGTTAGAAAACTAAACTAAAATAGTCAATGTAATCACGAAAAAATCACATATACACTAGGTGAATTCAATTACAAAATTCATAATTTCCCTCCTTTTTAACTTTTGTTTATTTGGGTGGAAGGGAGAGGGTGATCATTTTCAACTTTTTTTGGAGGATCTTAAAATTTATTAGGACCAAAAATGTGTTTAGTTTTACTTTTTTAAATTAATATTTCTTTGAAGAAATAAATATGTACATAAAAAAAAAAAAAAAAAAAAATACATGTTCATCTTTCCCAGCTCCCTAACCTCATAATTTCCAATTTAATCTTGGAAAAAATAATTAATTATAAATAAATCTTTTCAAATAAAATAAAATTATTGTATTGATAATAAAGAAAAGCTTATATTTCATTTCTTCATTATGGTTTTATCCTACAACTAAAACTAGTATTTTAAATGAAAGGAGATTTTTTAAAATCTAGGATCCCCCAAAAAATTTTTACCCATTACCAGATTTAGGCCAAATCGGGCCCCTAGTCAAATAATCGAATTTGGGGGCCCCCTTTATTAATTATATATCACCCCCATGTCTCTCTCTCTCTCTCTCTCTCTATATATATATATATATATATATAAAAAAGATCAATTTGTATAATATTGAGCAATCTTGCACTTATTACATGTCTGTATTTTTTAGAATTTACAAAGGTTGCATGTTTGTGTATTTTATGTGGGTGCATGCTGGTATGTAAACAATTAAGACAGAAGCATACAAAAACTTGGGTTTCTCATACAGACCATTTATTTTTCTTATTGTCTGATTGACCATGGAAATGTCACAGATAATTGGTAGCCAACTGTCAATCTTTACCTGTTCTGAACTTCCAGGGTGTTGTCCTCACATTTCTTTCTCTGCCTTCTATCTTGTGCTCTGCTTTGCATGATTGTCTTACCAAACTTTGTTGGTCATGAGACATGCTTCTACCACATAAATTACTTTCACTGTAAAAGAAATAATAGATATTTGCTTAATTTGTACTTGAAAAAGTGTTTCCTACATAGAATAAATTACTGGTGTTCCTTTTATTTCTGATTAATTTTATGAATTTTTTTTTTTTAATCTTGGGAGAACCTTATAAAAGTTTCTGCATATATTTTCTAAGCTTATGTAGTACTGTACATATCTTTTGATGATTGTAAGTGTTCTGAAAATGTTTGAATGCTGATAATAATGTTCTCTTTTACTTTTCACATACTTCTAGGCTTTATTTCTTGGAACAAATCACCATCTTCATAAAACACTTAAATCAATTTTTGGTAGTATGGTCAGATATTGTTTAATTTCTTTCCACAGAATGAACTTTGTGTGCAGCTTTATTGGCTTTGAGGCTCAGTTTAAAATAATGTCTCAAAGTCAGCAGAATCTCAGTAAGTGTTTCTGTTAGGATAACAACTGAAACAAAATTTAGAACTGAATAGTATTATTAATAATCTGTTCATGCCTGTCTTTTTCTCTGTATGATAAAAATATAGTTTTAAGGTATGCTATATTTATGGGTAAAAGTGGTCAATATCAGAGATAGATCATATGTAAATATAAAAGTGCAAACAGATGTCAACACCAAGTGGCGACACTCTGTTTCATGCTTGAATACAATCTTTGCACCATTTGTCAGATGACCTGAAGATTGCATGAAATAGACTGTCGTCACTTGGTATTGATGTCAGTGACCACTTTATATATATCTACACACACACACACACTCTCTCTCTCTCTCTCTCTCTCTCTCTCTCTCTATATATATATATATATATATATATATATATATATATATATATAATAACAAAATATCATCTTTGATGGTTGGATATCTTTGTTTCATGTCTGTATAACCACTCTGAGGATGGCTCATGTGAGACAAAAGCTTAGGACTAACTTAATAAAAGATATCCAAATCTTGGACAATTTTTGTCTTTATTTTCACCAGAAATTAAAGCAAACATTTAGAATGGCTCATGAGACATTCATTGTCTGTTATATTTAATAATATATGTTTAAATAATGATCTGCTGTCCCAATACACACACATATATATATATATATATATATATATATATATATATATATATATATATATATATATATATATACATATAGCGTGATCTATAAGGAAGAGGTAGAGGATTTCACAGGGCAGAGCAAAGTCTACGTGGATGTACAGAAGGCATATTCAAGAAAAGGTGGTACAATCATAGGTCCTTCTTTAAATTGGGGAGCCATAGCCATTGTACAAAGCTGGCAAGCCATGTGTGGGTGTTGTAAAAGATATGTAATAGAATCTCTGGCATAAGATGGAGTGTTCTGAGAAGGGTTAAGTCATGCACTTGCAGTTATAATGTCAGTGTTTGTAGATTGTGTCAAGAGGAAAAGCTGGCTATAGTTACATACCTGGACAGAGTTGAACCAACAGCCTGAGGTAATGTCAAAATGCAGACATGCCAATAAAAATATTCTAGCCCAGTAACTTTCTCTCTTTTCTGGTTCTTCCAACTTTTTCCTCATTCCACCTCTTCTGATATTTCTACTTTGTGGTGCTAAGTTAAGTTATATTAGCACAGATTTGAATAGTGCTGTGTATTAATCATTTACCAGTAACCACCTGATGAGACTGTAAGGTTGAAACTTGGATAGTGTTGAGGGTGAAGTTTTTCTAATCTTTTATATAATTATCTACTCTGCACGTTCAATTTTATGAACTGTGTATTGAGCACTTTCTTAAAATATCTGTCCATTGGCCTGACTCTAGTCTGATTTAAAACTTATATATATATATATATATATATATAAGATATAGTCTTGTACATGAAATAAGCTTTAAAGGTCTGGAAAGAAGATGGATTTAAAGTGCTTTTGATATATTTTTACAACACATCATTTGTCATTATTTTTGCTAACACAATCTAATTTGTATAAATGTGTTTCTCCTGTGTATAGTTCTCTCTTTGTAGTTTATGATATTCTTTTATTCAGTGACTTCTTTATATTTTTTTTTATTATATTTTTCTCAATATAGTTTGTCATGAATTTTCTGTGTTCTTAGGTATAATAGTGTAATTTATTGCTGTGTGATTTTTAACAAGAGCCAAATAGGAATGGTTAATGCTGGAGAAAGCTTTATCTGGATTTTCTATAAAAATTCCTCTGGAATGGAATCATTAGTCCTTGTCTATGGCTGTTACTTGTCTCTGATTTGCTATATTTAATTTATGTTTAATATTCATATAGGTATTTTTATCGCATGTGATCCCAAGATCAATATGCTTATATATTAGTATGTACTGTCTACCATCATTATCATGGCTGCTTTGGAATCAGCCATGTCTATAGTTGACAGTGAAATTAGTAGAGAGCATATATAAGCTAATATAATGAAATTTTGCAATGACATTTCCTGGTGATGCAGAATCCAGAAAACTGCCATCATACAGTGGCAATTATTTTTATATGATAGACAGCGCCACATCTGCTCTTTGCTATATCTAGACTTCTCATTAACTGATGGCCTTTATTTACACCAAGGACCATGCTTATGAAGAGTGTTTTGCTTGAAAAACAAGATGAAAGTTAAAAAGAAAAATACAAAAAAAAAAAAAATAAGATACTTCTGTTACTTTTGATTTGCTATTAAATCAATAATGAATCTAAGCAAGCATTAATAACTGTAGTGCAAGATTTCACTAGAATAAAATTTGTAATCTTTATTTTCAATTAAAAGGGCTTTTATTTATTTATTATTTGCTTTTATTTAACAAAGTAAATAATTTCAAATAAATGCAAAACTGCTAAATAAAAACATTTGTCACCATAAAAACACTTTTATCTATATTGGGACTTTTATTTTTTCACATATAAAACATGCCTCTTCAGTCTTCTTTCTTTCTAATGTGAATGCCATTGAAATAAATTCAACATGTTTTTTATTTATTTATTTTTTAAAAAGTACTACTTCGTTAAATTATGAGAAAATTGTGTAACTTTCATTTGAACCTTTCTATCTGTAGATATTGTTTTGCATTACCAGAATTATAACCATATTCTGTCTACTGTGCTTGCATTAATTTTTAACTATTGAAAATCCTTTTTTATTTGTTCCTGATTTTCAATGCACAACATATTGAATGCTAAAACTTGTTAAAAACAAATTTTAGATGAAACATTTGTAAATTCTTTACATAGTCATCAAATTTTTATTTTATTTTATTTTTTTCTCTATTGTTAGAACTATTTACTTTATTAGGGTAGACAATAGATAAATCAAACCAGAGGAATGGTGAGTAGTGATAAAGTCAGTGGGATAAACCAAAATCTTGTCTATATTTACCAGAATCAGATGCAGTTTGGATATTGTTTTCTCTCCCTTCCCACACAGCCATATGTGATATTACAAGATATCTATATCTTAAACAGCCAATCACATTTTGATATATTTACAAGATGAAAAATCTCACATCTTTAGATATGTTATTGTAAATATGATTTATAAAAGCAGATATTATAAGCTGAAATTCATACAGCCCAAGCCTATGGTTGAAATGCCCAGTGAAGATCAAACTTGACCCACTAAAAAAAAATCCCTTACTATAAAGGTAATTTACATTAACCAGAAAAAAAAGGCTTAGATAGAAGCGTCTATCTTTTTAAATTTGGATTTTTTAATGTAACTATAACAACAAAAACATTTCGATTTCATTTTTGCCTTGAAAAAGTCGGAAGACGAAACGTGTCAGCAAAATCTAAGATTTTTTTTCCAGTTGTCATTTTATACCTTAATCTCATATCTTTAGATATGTTATTGTAAATATGATTTATAAAAGCAGAAATAAGCTGAAATTCACTTGGTAGCTTTGTACATACAGCTCAAGTCTATGGTTGAAATGCCCAGTGAAGATCAAACTTAACCCACTATTGATGGTTTGCATGACTAGCTTGTTAACCGTTACTCAATGGTGAAAGCACCACTACTTAATTGTGTATCTATGGTAGCAACTATTTTTTCTTATTTTATAATCAATTTACTAATTTTGCAATGCATTGTTTCCATGTCTTAAATGATTTTTTTTTCTTAAGGTAGGAGAGATCTTTACAGCTGCTGGTCAAGCATTCAGCAAGCTGGGAGAATTGACCATGTCATTACATCCTACAGCCGAACCCAGTCCAACCAGGTCAGTAATTAAATTAATTTTTATAAGTGCGTAATAAGTATGACTACTATTTGTTATGTTAACTCCATATACAACAGAGAATGTTTTTAATGAGAAATAGTGTACAGGAAAACAACTCCAAAAATGTTCCAGATGTTCAATACTTTTTAGTATTCTTGATTTTGTTTTGTATCACTCAAAAAAACAACTTATCTAAGTACTTATAATAATTCTTTGCATTATTCTTGATTTCATTATCAACTTTGAAGAGGACTATAATTTTACTGCCTACTGCCCAGAACATTCCCCCCACCCTAACTTGGTTGTCTTTGAAGTCATATTGGTTGGCGATTTCCATGGAAAATCTAATCTGTAGTAATTGTCATCAGTTTCATGCAGTATATTACTAGAAATTACTGATCAGGAATCATGTACTTCTTTGCCCAACTTACATGTTTCTCTTTGTGATGCTTTTACTTAAAAGTTTCATATGCAGTATTCTTAATGTTCTGCATCTTTTTTTTCTCTATATTCGTTTCAGATATTTTCTTGCTGGTGTAGTCAATCCAATTTTCTTGCTTATTACTCATTTAATTTTTCTAAAGTTTTTTCTTGGACATTCTTAAATTTGTTTTATTCTTTTTCTTATCAATATTTCAGCTCATTTTTTTTTTTTTTTTTTTTGTTATTCAACTTTGTAATTTTCAGTTTCATTTTCCTATTACTCAATAACTTAACAATATCTTGTTTCTCTTTTGACATTATATTTTCCTGATGGTTCATAGCAATATTTGTATGTTTGAAATTAAAGAATAAATATTAGTAACTATACTATTATTTACTAGCAGGTCCCGTGTAAATTACATGGATTTACTAATAAATTTTCTAATACTACACTTTTCAACTCATACCATTTCCAGATTGTTATAAGAAAAGTGACATAGTCTCTCTTAAAATATTGAAATGTGGTATGATGCAGATTCTTCAATCTGAAATCATTTTCCATAAAATGAAATAATAAATATAAATTATATACATTTTCCACACATGAAAGGAAGTATTAGAATTACTTGTCTTAATTTTTCTCAATTGAGGCATGGGTCATTGTCTAATCTGGAGATGTATATGTGTATTAGAGACAGCAATAAAATTGATTTCTTTCTTTTTTTTTTTTTTTTTTTTTTTTTTTTTGGCAATACATCTAGTCTTATTCCAAAGATTGTTGCATTATTAATGCTCTTTTAATGTTTATAGCAACTTACAATTATTTTTTTTACAATATGAGTGAAGCCAAAGAAATAGTTGAAATTAAATCAATTTATACATGATAAAATAGAAAAATTAAATGTGATTATTAACTTGCTCACAAATAAATGTAGGCCCATAATACATATGTACACATGCTTAGGTCACATAAGAACATAAGCAAAAGAATGGAATTCTTAATAGGTTTGTAAAATATTTAAAGAGAAACGATGGTCTGTCTATATTTCTGAGATGGGTTATTGTAATTATTTACATTGCTTGGGCTGTTGTCCTCATCTTTATTGCCATATTATCAATGTTTTGGCTTTTGTACACTGTGGCCTTCTTCAGGTGATTGGAATTTCGAACTGAACCCTTTATTTCGTCCATTGGGATATATTCTAGTTCCATGTGCCATGCCTCTTCCAGATGTCTCAGTTATCTCCCTTTAACTCAACTCTCCAAGTGTTTTTTGTTCATCACTGGATCCAACCAATGTTTTTATCCAATGGGCCATAAGTCCTTGATGAATGAAAAAAAAAACTTGGAGAGTTGAGTTAAAGGGAGATAACTGAGACATCTGGAAGAGGCATGGCACGTGGAATTAAAACAGTCTACTCTGGTGGACAAAATAACGGGTTCAGTTTGAAATTTGAATCACCTGAAGATGGCTGGTGCGTATGACAGTCGAAACATCATGAATATGGTAATAAAGATTCGGATAACAGTCCGAACAATGGTAAAAGTTACTACACCAATAGTGGTCTTTGCTAGTGTGATACAGAGATAAATTTGAGTCCTGCAACCAGGTTTATGGAAGACTCTGCAAGCACAGAACTAAGCAGGCTTGATTGTTTCCCTAATGTGACTATAGAGCCAAGTAATTGGAACCACATTACTTTGTTTTATGCAATATTTCTAGTATACAAACAAACAATGTAGGTCATATATGATGAAAAATAGGCTGATGTAGGGGCTCGAGTAAACTTTTATTCACAAAATAACAGCAGGATATGTTAATTTGTGTACTGAAGATGTCTAAAATTGTAGAAAGATCGATTTTGGTCAAGTAGTTCATGAGTTAAAATTTGTGCAATAGAAATTTGTAAAAATAAACAAATAAAAATGTTGGTTTGCATTAGTCTCCCATCATGGAACCAAAACAAACCAACCTTTTTATTTTTTTGTTTTGGGATGTTTTTTAAAAAAATACCCCAGATTACTATCAATTAAGCACCCTTAGATCATGTAACTAAAAGAAATTGTTCCAGTTTTTTAATAATTCAAAAAAAATCACTAGTACTAATGAAATGTTCATGGCTTTCCAGTTTGAATTTTGTTTTATTTCTTTTTTTTTTTTTTCTCCACACTGAAATCAAACGACATCTGATATCTTTTCCCATCTTTCAAAAGGGAACAGTCCATTATTTATGAGGTATTGGCAGGATGTTTCTTACTTTCTTTATTTTCTCATTGAAACCACATAGCGTCTCTGATATGTTTTTCCATCTTTCCATGCGATCAAAACAGAATTGTTCATTATGAAGGTATTTACAGGGTGTAACACATGTGTTAACAAAGGCACTAAGGGGTGGGGACAAGCAAAATTATAATAAAATATTTACATTAAGATGAAAAATTCTAGTTCCTAATAAAATCTTCAATTAAAGGGACACAACTCTCTAACTTTCAATAGCTCATCTATATAATAAATGCGAATGTCAATGTGTCACACTTTTTCAACTTTATTCCTAGTGGCCATAGCCCAACATATTATACTATTTTGAAATCTGGCTGACTCCATGAGCAAATTAAAAACATTATCCGGACCCACAATCCTGAAATTTTGGATTCCTAAGTTTTCATTACTGCGATTGTTTTTGGCAAATTTTGTACATGATTTTTTGTGACAAAATTTTGTATGATAACAATTTTTGTGACTTGGAAATAAATTTGGGAATAATCAAAATTAATTGCAAAAGTCAACCATGAAATAAAAATAAAGTAAGCTTAAATATTAATGCAATACTTAAATGCAGCGATCAATTTTGAGTTCTTCTGTAGTTTATGGTTTCATATCACATCTACTCCTCCCTACCTATTGTGATGAAGGCCCAATCAAGTGCTCTCCGCAGGAGCTAGTTTAAATGCTGCCCAATAGGGCAGCTTTTAAGCTAGTTTATCATTTAAATATATCTTGAAACTTTACCAATATTAGTTGGTTAACACCAATTTAATTGTGAAAACATTTGATTTGTATAATCAAATCTTGAATTAGTGTGGATAAAATTCAAGCTATAATTCATGCAATAATTTGTTGAGATTTTCAACTTGGCCTTAAGTATCTGTGTTTTAGTATACTTAAATATAATATCTTCATTTATGGTGTCAGCTGAGTGCTAAAATATTTCTTTTAATTTCTTATATATCATTATACTGTGTAGGTAGATATTAGATCTTAAAATTTTTAGAAGTTGTTACGAGTCAGGTTGATAGTGTATTATTAATAATTTTTATATGTTTATGTTTTAAATACAAAACACAAATTTGTATGTTTTGTGAGGCTCATCACATTTAATTTGTCAGTTAAGATTTAAAAGCCACTTTTATCATATATTGAAAAGTGAGGTGAAGATGTGATCTCCCAACAACATATTACATAACTGAGTTAGAAAATGAATAGAAAATTGGTGTATATATATATATATATATATATATATATATTTTTATTTACCTATTCATTATTTTTTTTGTTTTGTTTGTAAATTATTTAGTGATTTAGTTATCATTGTAAGGATTTGTATATTGAATATTTCACATAAAAGATTTAATAGAATTATTTGGGTTATAACTGTAGCAAGGAGTTTTAATGTTTTTAAGTTTTTATGGCAGCAGATTTAAATTGAAACTCTTTACATTTAAATACTGTGGACATATCTTAAAGGTGTTACTATTACTAATGAGATAAACATTTGCATTATTGAACAAATTGCAATTCTAAGCCCCCACACATACTATTGAAAAATACTGCTAATAATTTTTTTGCTTTGTTAAGTTAGATAACAGTTGTCTCAAAAGAAAATATTTAAAGCTAAACATTCTTTATTGAATTAAAACTGTTGCATAACTTTAGGTATCTGGGTGTAACACATTGTACTCTTACTATATTACTTTAAATTATATTCTGTTTTTGTAGTGGAAAATGGACGGAACAGGAGATAGAGTTACTCAGAGCTTCTGTGAAACGATTTGGTGAAGATTTGAACAAAATCAGTGATGTCATAAAAAACAGGACAATGTAAGCCATTTTTTTTTTATAACAGCTTCTATTTTTCTTAAAAAGCAAACTTAGTCATATTTTTTGTTCACCTTGTAAAAGTTATTCTTAACTTGGGCATTGTGTCTAACTAGCCATGCTGCCTGTAACTAACAAGTGCTGCAGGCATGGTGCCAGTAACTAACATGTGCTGCAGCCTTGGAGCCTGTAACTAATGCATGTCACAGTGTGTAACAAACTCTTGCTGCAGTCATGGTGCATGTAACTTGCACGTGCTGTAATCATAGTGCATGTAATAAACTTGTATTGCAGTCTTGGTGCCTATAACTAACATGTACTGCACACATGGAGAATGTAACAAACTCATGCTGCAGTTGTAGTGCATGTAACTAGTTTGTGTCACAGTCATGGTGCATGTAACTGGCACTTGTTGCAGTTATAATGAATGTAATTAGCAAATGCCACAGACAGTTGTGATATCTGTGTGATTAATAATATGGAACACACTGCGCGACAAACATACTGCTAAAATTATTAATTTTCTAATCTAGGCTTTTGTATTTTGTCTTCTAAATTCCACCTCTGAAAAATAAAAACTTTTCCCAAAAATAGTTAACGTCAAGAAATAAATTTTACTACTTTTTAAAATATTTCTTAGCCATTTGTTCATTTTAGATAGCATTCATTTTTGATAGGTTTAGTCAAAATATCTCATGGAAAAGGCTTTTTTTTTTTTTTTTTTTTTTATAATGAATGATATCATTTTATATTAGTTTTATACTTTTTTCATTTTACACGTCTAATCAAAATTTGAGATGACAAAATGTAGAATCATTTTTTAAAATTAAAATTTTTTTTCTAATTTAATATATATTAAAAAAATGATGAGCAATAATCTCTTTGATGCTAAAAATATAAATGAAAACAATTTACTGACGTGGCATTGCATTAGGACCTGAATACAATGATCAATGAATTTTCCAAACTACGTATTAGTTTGCATCATGAAGATTTTTTAATTGTTTTAGTTTGATAGTTTGGCTTTCCTTATTTTTTTATGTAAGTGAATTTGTATATAAACTTAAAATTTTGCTACTGAAATCTGGTCATTTGATATTTGTTATTAATAAAGAATATAGTGAGGATTTGTGAAAGTTTTTTCCTAGAAAAAGTAGAAACTGTGGCGGCATTATGGTCATCATAGAATTGCAAGAAAATCTTTACAGGTTCATCATTTTAGGTCTATTTACTTTTATTCCTTTGTGCGAACCCCAACCAATTCCTTAAAATATGTTTTTATTTGAAAAAGAAATATCTTTGCAATGTTACTTGTTTTGCTTAAATTACTTTTAATTAATCACTTCATTTTGATTGCATTAATGCAAATAACTGCTCCAGAAAAAATGCATCAACGTAAAAATAGTGAACTACGTATTCAATTTAAAAAGTAATTAATGTAACAATTTTCTGATGTTTTTCAATTTAATGCAAATAAAAGTGTGAATAAAGATTTCTTAATTGTTTTAGTTTGATAGTTCGGCTTTCCTCATTTTTTACTTCTTAGCCAAAATAATTCTCCTTTTAAAAATCACCCTACATCTTATCCTCTGATTTTTGGGTTTTGTGTTTGACACACTTGTCTCTTGATTTTTGGGTTTTGTGTTTGACACACTTGATAACTCCAGAATGAAGTGTTAAAATAATAATGTTGAAATACAAAGAACAGTAACATACAGGTTTTATAATTAGTTTTATTTTTATTTGTCTCCTTAATATTCCTTGCCAAAATATAGATGTATGGTACATTCCAGGAAATATGTTACTTTGCTTGTGATAACAAAGTAGCCATTATTTTAAGGCTGTTACAGAATAATATGCACAAAAATGTTTTTTTTTTTTTTTTTTTTGTAAGGAAAGGCTTTTATTAATATCAGGTACCAGAAAAATGAAAAGTTGAGGTGCTATTGTTTATTTAATACACTAACATTTCTCAAGTTTTTGTCTATTTTGTATTATTAAACTTTACAGATTGTACAATAAATGCTGTTGGTACTTATTTTATTTTTTTTTAAAATATTTTCTGTAAATTTTTTTTGTTTTTGCTGGTAAGAAACTTTTTCTTAAATGACTTTCAATATTTATAATGGGGAAGTTGATTATTATAAAGTAAGTGTTTATTTTAATTAGCAATTAATCAATCATTTCACCTTTTTTGATGATGGCTAATTAAAATAGAATATTCTTGGCTGGGAATCCTTGATCATTATTATTTTTTAATTTGTTTTGGAATTTGTTTGTTTCTTTTTCTTTATTACTAATTGTTGTAGTATACACATTATCATTCATAGGTATGTCCCCATTCATATAAATATAGTAGTAAATATTGTATGTTGGTCTGCAGTTGGAGTTTCATTGTGGAATTCACTTCTAGCAGTTGACTACTACGCCACTAGCGAATCTAATATGTGTTGTTCTTGCCTTAAGTATTAACATACATTACCAACCTTCATGTGATTATTCTATTCAGTAACCTTCCCTAGGTTACAACACTAATTTCCTGGATTGAAGATTTATTCTTACCATACATTCTTGCAATTTTTACATATTTTTTTCATTGATCTGGAGTCTTTCATTTTTCACTTAAAGGACATATTTTGTGGCTTCTGTTTGGTGTATCAGAATTGCAATATTACTCTGTAACTTTTGTGCAATTATTAATTAAATATCCCATTAAACACATTTGAACTGATGTCATCATCTTGTTATCACAACTTATCTGTCCTTGTGTTCTTCAGCCTTCTACAGGTATCTGTCAATCTGGGTAAACTTCTAGCAATTTTGAACTGAAACCTTATTTAATCTATGGTGATAGATTCTCATTATGTTGTCCAAGTCTAGGCATATCCCTAAGGTTTACCCAGATTAGCAAACACCTGAAGAAAGCTAGAAGACACATTGGCTGAAATGTATCGTGTTTCCTGGGATATTAGGTCTTTTCAACGATCAGACACCCTCATTCAGACAACTTAGTTGTTTAAGCTTCAGCTTGTCTCCAGGTAGCACGACCCAACCCATGTCTCTCCTCTTATAATCCAAAGTAACTCCTGTTGTCTCAGTAGCCAACTTGATGGCCCTTCACCTACTGGCTCTTGTGATATCCAGTTTGTTTATTGGTCAGGTAGAGAGATTACATGTTATATCTCATAAGTATATTTTCATTAATGGCTTTATGAGAGCAATTTACAATAATAATAATGATAATAATAATAATAATAATAATAATAATACAACTTAATATGTGAAATTATGAGAATTTAATATATTTTTATACCAGCAGAACATCTGCCAAAAAGTGCTCAATTGATAACTAGAACGATAATATTCAATAAAAATTCAACTGACTTATCTTAATTGACCACCTACAGTTTAACATCAAAATGCTCTTCAAAGTCAGATGTTCAGTAAATCTATCTCTTGTTGACAGGCGCTCAAAGAAAGCTGAAGGACGCAATGGCTGAAAAATTGATTTATTGAACATCTGGCTCTGAAGAGCATTTTGACGTGAAACTCGAGTTGGTCAATTAAGATAAGTCAGTTGAACTTTTATTGATTTATTGAATAAAAGTAACCAGGTGGTGTAATAAGTAATGTTTTGGAATTGTTAATTTTAGAGTAGAGTTCAAATTTCAGTTGGGTTTGTTATATTCACTTATGCATAAATACCCTTGGGGAATGTATGAATTCACCTCTAACTCCTCCCCAGCAATGGGTTAATTAGTACGACTTGTAGCACTAAACCATTATTACCTTTAAAAAAAATTTTTGAAAATCTAAAAATATTTTCTGGATTTAAATAACCTACAAAGGGTTGATAAGTTGTAGAAAACAAATCAGTCAATCAATCAATAAAAGTAATTTATAGAAAGGCCTATGTTAATATCCGCTCTGAATATGACTGGTTTACGGTCATATCATGTTGAAATACTGGTTTCAATGAAGTTAAGCAATGTCAAGTCTGGTTAGTACCTAGATGGGTGACTGCTTGGGAATACCAGGTGCTGTAAGCTTGGATGTGTGAATGAAATAATGGATAATAACTTGGAATTGTTAATCGGAGAGTTGAGTTTCAATTCCAGTTTGGTTCGTTATATTCATTTAATTGGAAAGGTACAAATCCACCTCTTATCTCCCCAGCTATGGGTTATTTAGTAAGACTTGTATCACTAAATCATTATTATCTCTCTCGCCCCCGCCCCCAATGCCATCTAAAAATATTTTTTGGCTTTAAATAACCTGCAAATCATGAACAATACTTTACTTCTTTATATCCTGTAGCTGTAATCATCTGGATTAGTTTATTTCAGCCATTTTCTTTTCATTTCACACTAATTTTACTTTTGGATAAAGACTTTAAATCTCAAACATAAGATCAAGAAAGAGGGGCATTCAAAGACAAAAGCTGCATACATGGAATAACTAAGTGGGAAATACAGATACATTATACACATTATTATTGAGTTTGTATGTTTTCTATTTTGCTTTTAAAATGCATGAAATATCTGATGTTCAAGTATGTATGCAATATTTGTATTTAATGTCAGGTCACAAATCAAAGCCCAGATTAAGAGAAAAGCATATGAAGATGCAGGCTTACAACCACCCACAGATACCACACCAAAGAAAGCTGTCACTACCCAGAAGCACACACCCACAGAACAGCCACAGCCAAAGAAACAAAGGTCTTCGGGTAAAAAAGAATTTTATTCTAAATTACTTTGGAGCCAAACATGCTCTGCACCATAGCATTTTTTGTTCTCTTTTAAATCTTGCACAACATTCACAACTAACTTAGTTTCTTCTTTTGGCACTTGGGGAATAAGATAAAGAAGTATATAATTTTTCTTTCCCTCTTTTCTTCATAAAACAAAAAACTATTATTAACAGGTATTATAATTACACTTTCTTATTTCTGTAGAGGAAAGTTTTCAAAAAAAATCTTGAAATTCATTATGGATACCTTTTAGTCAATTTCTACAGTTTGCTTTACAATTTTTAGTCATAGGACGATTTATGTAGTTGACTTGGTTATTCATTTTCGCATTCAATTTATAAAATAAGAGATGGTATCACAGAATGTTTACTTAGTTCTCATTACCATGATACTTATTTTTTTATTTTTAATCTTTCCCAAATGTCTCGACAGCTTACTTATATCCGAGCATGTATGTTGGGGAGATACAGTGTGAATAATGAACCTCAAGTAAAGCAGGCTCAGACCTGATGATGCAGGTTGATAGACCATCAAGGAGTACCTTTGAAAATTTCATGACTTTCCTATTTGAATTTTGTTTTATTTCTTTCTTTTTCTCACTGAAATCAAACACTGATATGTCTTTTCTGTCTTTTCATGCATCAAAACGGAATAGTCCATTATTTATGAGGGTATTGGCAGGGCGTAACATACATGCTAACAAAGGAACAAAGGGAGGGACAAGCAGAAAGTGAAGTGAACTCGCCTATTTTCAGTTGTATAGCAAAATGGGCTTGCCTATTTTCATTTATATAGTGAAATGGACTTGCCTCTTTTCAGTTGTATAGTGAAATAGACTTGTCTGTTGCCAGGGTTTTTATAAGCTATGGGTTTTGTTAGCTATAGGGTTTACTATGGTGTGGTTAATGCACCCAGGTGCTGTATGTGGAGCTATGATTTTCTTCATTTTAGATGGGAGAAGTTGCTCAGCCCTGGGGATTCCAACCCTGTGGCAGCACCTTCCTCATCCCCACTAAAGAGGTTGGGTCAGTTTAATACTGATACCAGCATGACTATGGTTGTGGTGGATGGGTAAAAATCAATTTTTGACCTTTGCTCATATGCATAATTATGTGTATGACACTCCCCACGTTAAAACAACCTTGGTGGGGAGGCTGGGTAAATATACTGGTTCTTGAAATGTATATATGTAACACAAGTATCCAGCTGCATATCTGTCCTTTTGACTAAAATAGTTCTGTTGCAAAATATAGAATTATAACAATGACATTTATTGTAAGTCATTTAAGTATTTTATACTTAATACCATTGTTTCATCTGCTTAGATTATATTGGAGTATATCAAAACTGTTTTTATTTTTGGATTTATGAGAGTTCATGGGAAACCTCTTTAGATCTCTTGTATATTTTTTAAGCTTATGTAATGCTTTCTATATTTAATCTTTTGATGATCCTAGCTTTTTTGAAAGATTTTTTTTTTAGTTTTGGAGGTCAGGCTCTTCTCTACTTTGTATTTTAAGGTATCGTAATCATCAACTGATGGTCATCTACTTGTGGGCTTTATTTCAAAGCATAACTCATCACCCTTAAAATGCTTCAGCTAGTTTTAGGCAATACAATCAGATATTGTTTCATTTTTATTCCAATTTCTAGATTCTGTGAGCACCTTCAGTGGCTTTGAGACTTAGTTTGGTGTAAGGCTTTAAAATTTTCAGATTCTTGATATTTGTATCTGCCATTTGCATCTGAAACACAAGACAAAGTGAAATAGTTTTGCTAATAACATGATCTAATAATATTATCATGGAGTCTTAGTTCATCTTTTAATGTTTTTTTTAATCATTTCACCCCAGTCAAAGCAATAAAGCCACTAATATGCAAAGGGTTACTGATTGTTAGAGAATATGAGAAAAATATGCTATTAAGGAGACAGGAGAATAAAAGAACAAAAATTAAAAAGACAGAAAATAACGATTGACATTGCATTTAAATTTTTGACGATCAAAGTTGACTGGGAAGCAAGAAGCTGGTAGAGAGTTCCACGAGCAAGAAATGCGATAGAAGAAACTTACGGTTACATTTAGCCATTTTAACTGTAAAATGATTAGATCCTGTTACCAGTTTAGTACTCTTAAGTTCATAAAGTCTATGTAGGAAAGTTCATCAGAACAATTATCATGAAAGTATTTATAGAAAAGGCACAGAGAAGCCATGTTACAGTGGTGGGAAAGGGACTGAAATCGAGATGCCAGATCAGGACCAATAAAATTACTGATTCTTCTTTGTATTTTATCAAAAATATCTAAATATATAGCAGGAGCACCAGACCAGATGTGGCAGCAATATTCAAAACAAAGACAAATGGTAGACTTATAAATATGTAAGATAGATTACGGTGAGAAAAATTGTCTAACACATCACAGTGAACCAACTTTCTTAGCTGCAGATTTAGCAATTGATTCAGTATAGTCTTTCCACTTCATTTCAGCAGAAAATGTTAGTCTGAGAAGGCGCAATGAGTCACTCTTTTGGAGGTTAGCATCAGCCATGCTGATGGAAGGTAAAAAGGGTTCTCTCAGATGATTAAAAGAGAGCAATTTTCTTTTTGGAGGTGTTAAAATTAACAAGCCACTCCTTGCCCCAAAAATATGTGCACAAGAATAAGCTTTGGAGTATAGGCCTGTAAATAATGAAAATATTTTCATCTTTTAATGGGAAACCTCTCAAGAACTCCTTTATGTTATTTTTAAGCTTATTCATTGCATTACAAATGGAGTCTTTCAATGATCCTATCTCTTCTGAAAGTTGTTTTGATTGCTGGTGGTCAGATTCTCCTCTTACCTTTCATTGTAAAACCTCATAATTGACAACTAGTTGATGGTTGTTCACTTCTGGGCTTTATTTCAAGGATAAGTTACCACTCTGAACAAATATTTGCCGGTATTGTCAAGTATTGTTTCATTTGCTTTTACTTATTCTGTTTACTGAATTCTGTGAGCACCTTCAGTAGCTATGAGGCCCTCTTTAAAATAATTCCTAAAAATTGCCAGAATCTCAATATTTATACCTACTATTATAATATCTGAAGCAAAAGGTACAACTGAATAATATTGATAATGACATGATATATGTAATATTAATAATATGGAGTCATAGATAGTCTTAAGATGTGCACATGAAATAAGCTTTGATGTAAAGGCCTTTAAAAATTAAAATATTAGCTTTGATATGTTTTATGATCATTCTTAAGTATTAACATTAAGCCATAAGCTATCAATACATATTAAGGCATATCTTATGTTTATTCTTTACATTATTTACATTATTTGGACTGTTGTCCTCATCTTTATTGCCATATTCACAACATTTAGGGCTGTTGTATGCTCTACCCTTCTTCAGGTGATTGGAATTTTGAACTGAATCTTTTATTTTGTCCTCTGGGGTAGATTGTTCTAGTTCCACGTGCTATGCCTCTTCTTGATGTCTCAGTTATCTCAACTCTTAAAGTTTTTGATCACCACTGCAGTAACTAGGTATTAAACTAACAACTCATTGGGTCAAGTCACTGGATCCAACCAACACTTTTATTCAATGGGCAATCACCTGAAGAAGGCTAGAGTGTACAATGGACAAAACATAGTGAATATAGCAATAAAGATGTGGACAGCAGTCTGAATGATGTAAGTAATGTAAATAATTACAATGCCACATCTTAGAAATATAGACAGATATAATTATTCTGTACAGTGAAAATTTTGACCGTCCAAGATGTTACACAGCCTTAGATATTTGGATAAGTTGCTGATTGAGATCATTGTATACATAAAGTGTGTATGTACATGCAGTAAATCAGGGTGTCAGTCATTTTTTTATAGTATAATGTGTTTATAATATATTATAATAGACATTGAAGTTGGTTAAAGAGACTAAGAGATTCTTTTTTTTTTTTAAATTACTATGACATTCATTTGTGGAAAGGATTTCTATTTTGTTCCTAGTAGTTACTTTTATATTTATAAAATATACTATACCTATGTGGTATGAATTAGTACATTGTCATAATTATGACAGAAGATACTGTATATGACTATTTTAAGTCAGTTTGTTATCTCCATTAATGCATCATATCACTTAGCAATGAACTTATGTTAGATTTAATCATTGATATTTTATTTGTGGAGGTGCTGGTTGACATTATATGTATAGGTTCAAAAAAAATTCAGGTTTAATGATCTATATTTGAGAGACAGATCACTCTCCCACAAACAACATCATCATCACCACCACTACATAGAAAAGTTTACAAATCTTTTAACAACACAATCTTGAGAGGATTTTCTTGCATAAAACTCTAAAAAAAAAAAAGATTGTATATACAATTTAAAAAGAGTTTGTTAAAACTATAGAACCACAATAATGTTGGTTGTGGGTGGAATGAGAAATCTGAGTTTGAATTCCAGTTCGGTTTGTTACATTCACTTACGTGCAGATATCCTTTGGAAAATTATGAACTCTCCCAGCTATGGGTTAAATAGTAAGACTTGTATCTGGAAAAAATCATTATTCTCAAAAAATTGTTAATGCAATATCCATGTGAAAAAAAAGAAAAAATGATGCTTACGTTCCAAAATGTGTTTTGGATTTAAATAACCCACAGTCTTGATAAGCTGGAGAAAAAAAATCAGTTATTCAATCCAGAATGAGGCTGAATTACATTTAATATTATTTCAAAAATATTTTATATAAGATTAGAAAGATTTGATGCTTGTGATAGGTTTTCTTCTTTCACTTCCTAGTTAGATTGGCTATTTTCCAACATTTTTATCTACCTATGTCTTTATTTATCTCAATAAAACCATTATTTGCAACATTTATTCAGAATTGACACTTTCCCAGAAGCTAACCTTTTATAACTGTAGTGGATTTTTTCTTGACTAAAAGTTTATAGAAATATATAACTTTATTTTTGTGGTTAA